GTCACGCCGCTCCAGACCTATCCGCGCATAATCTCCGATAGGGCGTATCTCGAGGCGAGTTAATCTTTCCACCGTTTGCAGTGTGCTTGATAGTTTCTTGTTTTGTTTTCAAGTCGGCTGATTGGAAGATGATCGCGGGTTCGGACCGGTTCGGGAGGTGCTTCAGACTTCGGCCCTTATTCTTTAAATGTAGCCGCCGAGGTGTTGCACCACGTGGCTGATAAGAAATCTCAGAGTGTCTCTGCAAATGTCTCTCAGGATAGTTCCGACGCGAACCAACGCGAACCGACCGGTCGTCGCTACCCCATGTTGGAATGAGGGGAAGCTCCTGCCGCGCGGGGTATTGATATTGATTCTGTTCCTTTCTGCTGCCCCTGCACTGCACAGTGGGCCAGAAGACCGGCGCGGCGGTCAAAATCCTGGACGCGTTTTGGGCTCCGGCTCAAAAGAGGGCTCGAACCGAAGGTGCGACCCCACCAATGGATTGCTCTCCGAACGAGGAATCCATTGGTGGGGTCAAAATTTTGGTTCGAGTTCTGTTCAGCGACTCTGGAGCTCAAAACGCGTCAAGAGTTTGGGCAACAGGCGCCGGTCTCCTAGCCCACTGTGCACTGACTGCATAAGACGTTGAAAAAGTCATCCCGTTTGCCACTGACACTGTTTGAGTGCTCACTTCATGGCGTTTTTCTCTGCTTTCCTCCTTTGAGGCGCGGTTAGTGTTGTCAGTGCCAACTGTCCTTTTTATTAGCCAAATCGGTGCCAAAGTCACTACTCCCCCAGTTCTGCTGTGGGTCGGTGCTTGTGGGCGGAATGGGGGCATCTTGCCTCAAATCACTGACACTAAAGCAAAAATCCGTTTTCTTTTGTACCTTAAAGTTGTGTCATTTTAAACCCATTTTTAATAAAATTATTTTGACAAGTTGGGAGTGGAATGGGAAAGTGTACGAATTTGAACCCGCGACCTCTCCATCACTGGTTATCTCGCCCGCCGCGCTGCGTCGTCACTGATCCACCGGATCACCCCGATAGACTTTATCTTGAGACGGAGCTTTCTCGTCTGAGAGAAAATACGTGCTTTCCCTTTGGCTTTTCCGCCCATCCATCGTTTTTGTTTTATTTTTGTTTTATTTTGTTTATGTGTGTATGTATGCACTCAACAAAATATTGGTTTCAAACTGGACTTGGACGACAGTCTCACTTTTCAAGCAGAGGACTTTTTAACTCTCAAAGTAAAGAGTGACTGCTGCAAATAAGACACTGCATGCATTTGAGATTTGTTGTAGTTGCTTGCTCGAACGCTAAAGGTCTGCCGAGGCCAAACAGCGCTGATGCTGCTGCTGATGATGTGTTGTCAAGTCAAACAATAAACTGCGTAATCTCTCAAAATAGAGAGCGCCGGCCGTGGGTATCTAGAGCCCTTAATATCCCTTATCGTTTTCCAACTAAGTGAAAAAACTATTTAGTTCGCTCTTAAAGACGGTGTCGAATCACCCTTTGATTATGCCGCTCTGGCCCGGCTTGAAATCGATGGAGCTCGCACTGGCTGTTTCCTTTTATCTGCTATCTGAGCTGTAGGTTCGCAACCCGTGCCGAGAAATTTCCACCGTTCGTCTTAATGAGACTGCGTGGCCGCTATCTGCCCAATTTGATCCGAAACTGAAAACAACACTGTCGCCAACTGCGGGGAAGTAAGGGCTACGCAGGGCTGCCAACTGCAAGTGTGACGCAGCAGGGCTGCCAACGGCAAGTGTGACGCAGCAGGGCTGCCAACTGCAAGTGTGACGCAGCAGGGCTGCCCACGCACGCAATCGCAATCACCCGTGTGCGTTTGAAAGGCCGAGCGACCTTATCTTTCTGAGACGGCTTTAGTTGCTCGGTTTCCTCAAAACGCGGACCGGGAAAAAGCGCGTCGAGAGTAGCGGCATGTGATTCACCGCGCGCTGTCTCTGTCGCACCCTCGGGGCGCCCCGTCTGGGTGCGAGAGAGACAGAGCTTGCTGGCACGGGCCCAGTGCATTTACATGGCGGTTCGCCTACCGCGACATCGTAGCCGGCCGGCCTGGCTGGCCGTGCCCCACCACGTGGTGGACGAGAACCCCGACGAGAACCCCGACGAGAACCGGCTTCGGGTTTCCCCGGACGGAAGAGCGGTTTGGCGGGACCAAACTCGGCGCCAAAAATCGAAATGGTTTCCGTATCAAGAAGGCATCCCACTCAACCCTTCATTTTTTTGAAAAATTCTCTTTACAAGAAATTGAGGTCTTGAGACTTGTTAAATAGGTCTGATTTACCGTCTGAATCTCTTTATGCATGTCTGTCTGCCCGTCCGTGCGCGCGCACCCACTACGCCGCAAGGGGCTTGACATTGGGGCGCACAGGTCAAACCTGAGGAGAGGTGACTCGAAATTCGAGATTTGCCTCGCGGTTCTCCGACCTCAAATGTCTGTCCGCCTGTCTGTCTGTCCATCAGCCTGTCTGTCTGTGCATCAGCCTGCCTGTCTGTGTGTCGGTGGGGCTATCTCACCAGCCGCCTCTAATCTCCAACTGTCGACGGACGGTGCAAATTGTGAATTGTTGCAGAATTTGCCCTGACATTGTCCTTCTTGCTCGCTCGTGTCTCGATAAGTCGTACAGTGGCGTCGCACGGACGCGCTGGCCGAAAGCGTTTGAACTATCGAGCATCGTCCAATGCCCCGAAGGCGTTTTCCGTCATCCCCCCTCCCCCTCCCCCCAGCGCCGCCTCGACCAACAACCCCCGAGTCCACCCTCAGTGGTTATCCCAGTGGGCCAACGATCTGACGCCCTTGAACGATTGGGTGACACGACCACTCTCCGTCTCCCTCTCTCTCCCTCCCTCCCTCCCTCTCTCCAATATCCGCCCCTCCTGCACGTATTTTCTCTCTCTGGCTGCCTGCCAGGTTACAGCATGCGGCGCCGACACTGCAGGGAAGGAGAGTAGGTCCCTCGCAACGTCAGTCAATTTTTTTGACTTTCGAAAAAAAAAGAAGAAAAATGTCGTTTGAATCCGCTTTGTTTCGTCGGAAGTGCCCCCTCTCCCCCACGAGGTCGGTGAAATTTGACCGAGTTATTTTTGGGAGCAGCGGGCGGCGACAGGACGCTCCACCGACGGACGTCCGGATTAATGCGGAGCCGCGGCTCAGTTTTCGTTTTGACGAGGACCCTGCTGTACCAGAAGGAAAGCACAGTTCAGTTTGCGCGGCACGAAAGACTAAATTTTACCATGTCCTTGGTCGAAATGAAAATTTTAGTTCGTGCACAGAAACGGATATTTTATTGCGTGCATAAAAGAATAGCAACTTTACTTACGTTGATTGATGTTTGAACTTTTTAGTATGTACATTAATTAAAATGGAATTGTTATGACGTTTTTGAAAATGGGGCAGAATCCTAATCATTTAAAGCATATTTTCAAATTTTTGCTTCCAGCAGGGGATTGGCAGACAATTTTTTAACTGTGTCATTGCATGTGGCAGGGGCCTCTTCAAATTTGGGACTATCTTCTTTTTTTATTATTTTTTTTTCACTTTTTTTTGCCTGTTGCCATGCTTGCCTGACCCCGGAACTCTGGGAACTCTGCTCACCCACTTCAGATGATAAACTCGTCGCGACTTGCAGAAAGGAGACGCGACGGCGGGACGGTGGCGGTGGCGCGCCGTGGCGGGTGCACCCGGTGCACCGGACGTCTCGTCTCTGTCGCACTCGAAGAGACGCGTGACTAATGGGTCTTAGTGTGTGTGTGTCGCTTTTTTGGACACTGCACCCGCCGGCGGCTGGCGGTGGCGCAATGGATGTCAAGGACTTGGGTCGGGGGTTGTGCGGTAACCCCACGCAGGGCGCGGCGGGTGGATGTAACTCTCTCTCTCTCTCTCTCTCTCTCTCTCTCTCTCTCTCTCTCTCTCTCTCTCTCTCTCTCTCTCTCTCTCTCTCTCTCACGCACACACACAGACACACTCACTCACTCTGCAGCAGCAGAAGCCCCAAAGTGTGTGCGCGTGTTGGTGTTGGAGGCCGCCATGGCCGCACAGTGAAGGAAACGAGGGGGTGGGGGTGGGGATTTCAAGGTCCGCTGGGGGCCGCAAGGGTGGGGGGTGGCGGCGGCGGGGGGTGGAGTTGCAAGGAGCGATGGCTGCTGTTTCGTGGAATAGCAGGTCTCTCTCTCTCTCTCTCTCTCTCTCTCTCTCTCTCTCTCTCTCTCTCTCTCTCTCTCTCTCTCTCTCACACACACGTTTCAGGAGGCGGGTGAAATTGAGAGTTTGCCCCCCTCCGCTTTTACAATGTTGCTCTGCTCGTCCGTGCTCGATAAATATAGCTTGATAACACCTTGACCCCCCGAGTCGCTCGGTATTGTAAGTTTCCGTGCGTGGTGCCCGCTCGGGTGCCCGCCTGCCCAGCCTGCCCAGGGCGACGGTGATAGAGCGAGCGCGCGATGGACTGCGTCGTCCCTCTCCATCCTTTGCTCAAGGACGGCGGTGCGTTTTGGTTGGGCCGCGGCGTGGGCCCGGCTACCTTTTGCTTTATAGAGTCCTAGAAGTAAGTTGAAGTAGTTCTGGGACTCTAGGCTTTCTGCGTGGCAACCTGCCTCCATTGCGCAATCGTCGCAATCGCGTCCCTTTCGGCTTTTGGCGGTTCCTCCACGCGAATCTCGCGGTGATAATAGTGTAGGCAAATAGTCGCGCCGCGCATTCTCTCTCTCTGTCTGTCTCTCTTTCTCTCTCGCGGTCTCTTCTTTTTCGTCTGCCCTCTCTCTCTCTCCCTCCCTCCGCCCCGCCCCGCCGGCCGGCCTAGAGAGGGTGCTGCGCCGCGCTGCACCGAGTGAGTACGAGAGAGAGAGAGAGAGAGAGAGAGAGAGAGAGAGAGAGAGAGAGAGAGAGAGAGAGAGCCATTCCGCTGCGCCCGTGGCGCTGCCGGCGCTGCTGGCGCTGGCTCTGGCGGCGTGGGCGCGCGGCGGCTTGGCGCGGCGCGGCTCAGTCGGCCCCTCAGTCCGCTGCCGGTCCCCGCGGAGTGCACGCGTTGCCGCCGGTCCGTACTCGCGAACCGCCGAGCCGCCGAAACTGTCTCCGCGACGAGCTGAAGCGCGACGAGACGAAGGCAAGCCTAGGCAAGCGCCGTGTGCTGGTCCGTGCTGCACCGCCAGTGTCGTGGATGTCGCACCGCCTGCCCGGATTGGGGTTGCTCGAGGAAGAGTCTTTTCGCTGGGTGAGTCGCGGCGTCCTGACTGGGCTGTCGAGTTTTGAGCGTTTCGAGCTCCAGAGTAGCTAAATGGGACTCGAACCGTACGTGTGACACCACCAATGGATTCCTCGTTCGGAGAGCAATCCATTGCTGGGGGCTCACGTTCGCTTCGAGTCCCATTAGCGACCCTGGAGCTCAAAACGCGTCCGGGATTTTGAACGCCTCCACCGGTCTGCTGGCCCACTGTGCTACCCCTTGCGCTCGTCTTGCAGGGTTGGCGTCGCGGCGCCCGTCTTATCGTAGGCGGTAGATAGGTCGGTACTTGAGGTCAATGTCACGTGGCCCTCACCTGTCCGCCGGCTGCTGCGAGCGTGATGGGCTGATTCGGCAAAAAAATAGCAATTAGCGGGAAATGGCATTGGCTGGCAACAGCGCTGGTCTGTGTGAAAGTGAGGCGTGTCCTGGCAGGACTGTTATCCTGCCTTATCACTCGTGGGTGCCCCGACAGTGTGCTCTGTGACGCGTCAGGCGACCAGACAGCCCCCCGCCCCCTCCCTCTCCCCCCCCCTCACTCCCCGGTCGGTTTCGCACACCGTTTGCAACGCAAAGTGGGGCTCGCCTTACGCCTGCCTAGGGATTCCTAGTAGAGTCCTGTGCTATTTGCGTGCCGTGTTTTTCCTTGTCGTGCACTTCTTTCTTTTCTGTCTTCTCTTTTCTTTTTCTTTTTCTTTTGTTTCGTTGGCACCCCATTCAAACTGAAGGGACAGGGGGTCCCCTGTTGTGTCTAGGGCCAGCGGGACCCTGACGTGACAGCGACAGGATGAGGGAATCGTCGCGGCGCAGACTGAGAGTCGTTTCCGTCGCTCTGTCCCTCTCCCATTAGTCCCGTATAGGTGTGCGAGAGAGACAGCGACGAAAACGACTCTCGGGACCAGTCTGCTGGGGCGCAGGGCTTGCCCAGGGCCTCGCCCAGGGCCGCGCTGGCCGCCGCCAAGTCGCCGAACCCAAGGACCCCCAGGACCCCCAGGACCCCCAGGGCCCGGCGTCACGCGTGCAGCGGACACCCCCCCATCCCACAGTGGGCCAGAAGACTGGTGGCGAGGCGGCCGCGAAATTCTAGACTCGTCTTTAGCTCGCTAGAGTCGCTAAGTGGGACTCGAACCGATTGGGTGACCCCACCAATGGATTGCTCACCTAACGAAGAATCCACTGGTGGGGTACACGTTCGATTCGAGTCCTCTTTAGCGACTCTGCAGCTCAAAACGCGTCTCGAGTTTTGGCTGCCTCCACCGGTCTTCTGGCTTACTGTGCAACCCCTCTCTTCGTTCTTTTAATCCTCTTGACTCCTTCTGATCCTTCTCCATCCCCCCCCCCTCGGTCTCTATCCTTCTGATCCCATTCCCCGTCGCGATCCTCACCACTTTGACCCCCGGGCAACTTTCGATCATCCTCACCCCTTAACCAGTCCCTCCCCCTCCCCCATCGATTCCCCCTCCCCTTCCGCCAACTACTGAGGCGAACTAGCTCCGCAAACTGCCGTCGGCTTCTAGGATCCCATAAAAACGCCCTCATTTTCTTGTTTCCCGGCGCTGATTACCAGTGTCTGTCCGTGCGTCAGTCTCCTGACGGATGATGCGCGCGTCCTTGGGTGCCTCCTGGAGCCGGTCTCCTGGAGTTTTCCTCCTGGAGTCTGCCTCCTGGAGCCTGCCTCCTGCAGTCTGCTTCCTGGAGTCCTGTGTCCTGGAGTCCTGCCTCCTGGAGTCCTGCCTCCTGGAGTCCTGCCTCCTGGAGTCTGCCTCCTGGAGTCTGCCTCGTGGCGAGTGGCTTTTCGAACTCTGGAACAGATGAATATGGATTGAGGAAGAGATTGTTCAACATCCATTTATTCTTTTTTTTTCTTTTTTTTTTCAAAATTTTTCTGTTGGGAATACGTTTTTTCTAGTGTCGTGTTGCATGTTGTAGGGCGCGCCGCGGAATGGCAGCTCCCTTAACATGGATGGCCGTTTTGCACGAATGTCGATACGCGAGGCGATATATATATTTTTTTAATGACGTTTGATGTGAGCACGCCAGCCTACGACGCGCCGGGATGCTCGCACACTACACGGCACATCAATAGTTCAGCGTGGAAGGAGTGGGTGCGGCCACAGAACAGCGCACAGTGGGCCGGAAGACCGGCGGAGGCGGCTAAAATTTTTGACGCGTTTTGAGCTCCAGAGTCGCTTAATGGGACTCGAACTGAACCTTGAGACCTCACCAATGGATTGCTCACCTAACGAGGAATCCATTGGTGGGGTCACACGTTCGATTCGAGTCCTCTTTAGCGACTCTGGAGCTCAAAATGCGTCTGGATTTTTTGCCGCCGCCACCGGTCTTCTAGCCCACTGTGCAGCGTACCAGCATGGGTTTTCTCGGATGGCATATTACACGTGTTCCATTCTCGTCGCTCTGTCTTTCTCGCTCGCATGGGGCGACCCGTACAGGCCTGCAGGACTGAACTCACCGGTCCCTCGCGAAGAGCCGAGCCGGGCGGTCCCCCCATTCATATTCGAATTACGTATTGCGCAGTGCCTCGCACTCGCACTGAAAGGTGCTCCATCTTCGTTCCATTCTCAGCTCATCCGAAAGTCAAGGTCCCGGACAAGGCGTGTGGCGGTCAATGTCAGCTCAAGGCCGCTGCGGCCCCGCCCCGCCCCACCCGCGCAACGCGAAGTGGCTATGGGAGTGTACCTGTCGCGGGCGTTCGGTTCCTGGAGTGTACGAGTCTCTGTTCCTGTAGTACTCAGTGCGAGGTTCGCCTCTCTCTCTCTCCCCCCCCTCCCCCAGCCTGCATTCTTTGGACGTCCCTGGCCCAGCTCGGGCCGCCACCTCGAGGCCGCCGCCTTGGGGCTTTGGGCCCCACAGGCCGCGGGCCCCACCTTCGCCTGTCCCTAGAGGATTTAGCGGTGTGGGTCCGTCGGGGCGGGAACAGTGCACCTGCTGTCCCTTCCCTCGCCTCTTTTCCCAGCCCTTTCCGCTCCTGGAGTGTTCGACACGTGCGCCCCGACGGGTCGACGGGTCCTCCTAGATAACACCGTTAGGAAGGTACTCGAAACGGCCCTGGCCTCAGGGCTTCGGGATTCTTCCACGCGTAGGGATTCAGGGCAGCCTCACTGCCTCGCCCGGCCTGAGAGTCGTTCTCGTCGCTCTCTCGCACCCATACGAGACGCCCCGGGAGTGCGAGAGAGACAGCGACGAAAACGACTCTCAGTCTGCAGCGTCTGTCGGCTTGTTTGGTCTGCACGAGGCTCTCCCGGAAAAGGACAGCTGTATGGTTCTCTCTGGAAAAGCGGCACGACACGACTCGATGTTTCCCACTGTCATTCCCCAAGACCAAGTTTTCGCACTGAGGTATTCTAGCTAAGTACTGAAAATTAATGACCCTTAACTGGTGCTAAGCTGCGCGGCGAGGCTCGAATATTAGCACAGGTGTGGTCTGAGGTATTCGATTAGACCGCGATTAGCGCTGCAACTGAAAATGTAGCAACGTTCTTGAAACAAAATTAGCGGGGCTTTAATTAACAGAATGGACGTGTTAATTTTGGCACCTTCATCGTCATATCTGTCAACTTTTGTTTTTCTTTCATTTTTTTTTTTTGCGTGGGCTTGCCGCTGGCGCTGTATTTTCCCGCCACAACCCGCGACAGCCAGCCGCTCGCGCGGTTGAATGGGTTTTTGCCCGTGTCTGTCTGACTGACTGACTGTCTGTCCGTCCGTCCGCCCGTCTGGCCGACCGCCAAGGGTAGGGAAATGGGCCGGGAGATGGTGTACGCGACGGCAAGTGTGTGCGCGTCACGGTTTGAGAGGAAACATGTCGGCGGGCTGTGAGGCTGTGGAGCGAGGTGGGCCGTCCGTCCACTGCGCGCAACACAACCGGCCTGTGACGTCAGTTTTCAATTTAAATCATTTTCGGTTTTTCCCGTAGACGCCGTCGTCATCTCTGGACGTTGAACTACACACTGGGAAAAAAAATTTTTATGCACTTTTGGGGACGTAAATTTGCGCTCTCTTTCGCACATGCGTGAGTTTCCGCATAAAATTACGTCGTCATGCATAATATTACGCATAGGCCTATCAAACGCAAAACTTTCTTCTTTGTTATGCAAAATTTTGACTTTGTTATGAATAATTTCTATTTTTTATGCATGCTTTTTACTTTGCTATGCATGATTTTAACTTTGTCATGCATAATTTTTACTTTGCCATGCATAAAACGCATGTGCAAAAAAAGTGCGTCACCCCCGTAAGAACATAAAACGTGCATAAGGATTCAGTGTCGCGTTCAGTGTGCTTGCGTGCCGGTGGCGTGCCCTGTGCGTGTAGTGGCATCGAAATGCAACGCCGTTTTCCTTGTCGCTCGCACGCGATGGGCTCGTTGCTATTTTACCACCAATGCCTCGGCATTTTTTTAATTTTTTTTTCAGTGTTTCACCGTGTTATTTAGAAGCGGTTCTGCCGCATCAACGCAGCCGACGCGGACTAATCGGGCTAGAGGATGTCGTACACGTGAAAAAAAGTTCGAGAGTCATAGCAGCAGCGTGGCACGCGTGCTAACTTTCTAGTGGCAGACGGCCGCTAATTTTTTCGCGCCACCCAAATAACGCGATGGTTAGTGCTCCGCCGCGAGTGTCTCTCTCGCTCCCGTTGCGCGAACCGGACCGGCCGAGTCGCTGTCTCTCTCGCACTCATGGGTTTCTCCTCAAGGGTGGGAGAGGGACGGAGCGACAAACCGATGTTCGGCATTGCTCGGATGTCGCACGATGACGCGGCCCTGCCCGCGCTGCAGACTCATTCCGAGAGTCGTTTTTGTCGCTCTGTCCCTCTCGCACTGATGGTGCGTCCCGTGTAGGCGCGAGAGCGACGGAGCGACGAAAACGTCTCTCGGAATCGTCTGTCTCTCTCGCACTGATGGGGCGCCCCGTGTAGGCGCGAGAGCGACAGAGCGACGAACACGGCTCTCGGAATCGTCTGCTGGTCGGCATCCTTGGCCGCTTGGTTCAGCGCGTTCCGCGGCGCTGCACTGCAAGGGCGTCGGGCCGCCCAACTGCACGCAGCGCCACTCGCAAAAAAAAAAAACTCGCTGGAAACGGCAAAAAGAATGACGCCAGCGTGTGACCTCGGCGTGGGGGACGCGCCCAACGGCCAAACCAGAATCGCGACGAGAGAGAGAGAGAGAGAGAGAGAGAGAGAGAGAGAGACGGCGCTGTGTCACCTGGCGGTGTCCTCTCTCTCTCTCTCACACACACACATACACACACACACACGCACACACTCAGCTTCTGCGCGTGATTTGCCGGTTTCCTTTTCCGGCGGGTCACTGACTCCAGGCGAGGAGTCTGCCTGCGAGAGTTTCGACGACTGGACTCCTTTTTCCTCGTTTGAATGCCTAACGTGACGGTTCCTTGTTCCCTGTGCGCAGGCGTTGGGTGCGCGTCCCGCGGGACGCTCGGGTCGAGCTAGCAGCGCCAGCAGCGCAGCGCGTCGCGACCGTCGCGACCCCGCGGCGCCATGAGGGACACCGCCAACAAGGTGCTGCCCGACAGCGCCGTCTACAAGGATGTCGTCATCGTGGGTAAGTCAGCGACAGTCAGCGAGGCCACAGCGCACTTTGCCAGAAGACCGGTGCAGGCGGTCGAAATCCCGGACGCGTTTTGAGCTCCAGAGTCGCAAAATAGGGCTCGAGCCGACCGTGCGACCAATGGGTTGCGAACGAGGAATCCATTGGTGGGGTCACACGTTCGGTTCGAGTACTATTTAGCGACTGTGGAGCTCAAAACGCGTCCGGGATTTCGACCGCCTCCACCGGTCTTCTGGAAATCCACAGTGGAGCGCCTGCGAGAGCGCGGTAGGCAGCCCGCCGCGCTCGCGTGCGTTGCATACCAGGCCAGTCTGCCTCCACGGCGCTTGGCCGAGGCCGAAGGCCGACACCGCAAGTTTTTGTTGTTGTTGTTCTAACTGAGCTTGGACCGGTTGCAGGCAACGGGCCCTCGGGCATCGCCGTGTCCCACGTGCTGGCCGGGCACAGGCCGTACCTCCGCAGCGCGCAGCACCCCGACGAGATGCTGTCCGCGCGCCTGGCGGGGCTGCTCCGCGGCGAGGCCATGGTGCCCCTCATGCAGCAGGACCTGCGCCACCTGTCGCAGGGCCTGGAGGGGCGCGCGCCCCACCCCCTGTCGCTGCTCATGGACGCCCTGACGCACCCCGGCGCGGACCAGGGCCTGGAGCTGCCGTCGCTGCTGCAGTGGCGCCTGCACCCCGAGAAGCGCGTGGACCACGTCGTGCTCGGCACCAGCCCCCCCGGCGGCGCCTGGCAGGTCAGTTTTAAAAAAAAAAAAACTTTTTTCAAACTTTTTTGAAAGTTTTGTTCAAACCTTTTACTTTTTTTTTCAAACTTTTTTTTAACTTGAAACTTTATTTTTTACTTTTAATTTTAAAGTTTTGTTTAATGTACGAAACATTGCTTGACTACTTTAAACAAATTTTGAATGTTTTGTTTTATTTCCCTCCCCAGACCATGATCGGCAACGTGCTGACCATCAGCCTGGCGTCCTGGATGGAGCTGCCGGGCGTAGACTTCCGCACGTGGGAGTCCTCGGCGGGCACACTGCACGCCCTGCACTCCAACACGAACGAGCGCTTCAGCTCGTGCCTCAACAACAACGGCAGCAAGGAGGGCCGTGCAAGGGCCGCCTCCGTGGCGCAGTACTACGCGGACTACGTCAGGCTGCGCGGCCTGCAGAAGTTCTTCCACTGCGGCACCAAAGTCTTCAACATCGAGCCGCTGGAAAACGCAGTTTGCCAGGTAACGACGCTCACCCGCCTTCGTATCGGCCTATCGGCCCCAGCTCTGTTTTTCGCGCGCGTTTCCCTTACTTATGCACTGTTATTTTATTTTTTGTTTGGAAAAAAAATTTACGGTGTTTTCTTTCTATTTCAGTGCACAGAGACTGTGGCCAATGAATGGTGTGGCAGGAGGCAGTGCTTTGCCAGAGCTTTGTGGCTTGTGGAAGGCTTTGATCAAGTCAGTGGACAGGCTTTCACCTATGTCAGCCAGAAAGTGGTCATAGCAACAGGTTGCACGAGCAAACCGAATCGCTTGAACGTCCCAGGGGAGTTGACGAAAAGCAATCACATTGTGCATGACTCTGGGTCAGTTGAGGAATTGGTTAGGAGAATCAGAGAAGAAGCTGATCGAGATCAAACCGGTAAGTCACCCTACTTATCTATTGCCATTCATATTTAATTTCTTCCAGTGAAATTTTGTTGATATCATATGTTTTTATTTTGTAGGTGTAGATCCTATTTTGATTGTTGGAGCTGGGCTGAGTGCTGCAGATGCTGTCCTGGCAGCTCGATTCCACTCTGTCCCTGTTCTTCATGTATTCCGTAGTAGAACCATTCCTGTTGATCGTCAACTGCCTGAGATCATGTACCCAGAATATCATAAGGTGACTAATTTGTTACTAATTCCTGCAAGCTTAATTAATTTGAGTGAAATGTAAATTTCAATTGTATGTTAATCTTGTGCCTGCAGGTTCATCAAATGATGGAAGATGGTGGAAAATGTTACCCACTGTATGAAGCACTCCCTGAACACAGAATTCTCAGTCTCACAGGCCTTAATTCACCAGATAGAAAAATTCTCATGGAAGGCCCTGATGGTCGACATTGTGCTCATAAGGTATCTGGTGTTGCCATTCTGATTGGAGCACGCCCCAATTTATCATTCCTAAAATCCATTTGTAGCTCCGATGGAACAGGGTTAGGTGCTAATGCCAATGCTCCTATTGATTGTCGCTCAAACCCAATTCTCATTGATTTGTGGTCTCATAAAGTAATGCGAGTTGAACAGCCAGGTCTTTATGCACTGGGGCCTTTAACAGGAGATAATTTTGTACGTTTCATTCATGGAGGAGCTTTAGCTGTTGCCTCTGGTATACTTAATGAGAAACAATGTTAGTGTAGTTATTTTACCAAATTAATTAACTATTTTTCAAATATATTTTTTAGATTAAGAACAAAGCACGGAAAATAAATTTTACATTCTAGTTTGGCTAGAAATTAACTCTTATACTCCTGTTTCTATTTATAATCTAGTTTCTGTTGGTTTCATTATGTAGTTTGACAGCAAAATAGTTTTTCACAAATTTTTTGTATTAGAATTTTTTTTGTACTATTCAAACTTTTTACTACTTTAACCAACGAATTCTTCTAGAAGGAGTCCTTTGCAGTGAGAATGAACATCCTATAATTTATTTCATTCGTCCATGGTGATTAACAGCAAAATGTGATACTCCTTAATTGAGCTGTGATATTGATATTGCAAGGAGTTTAAACATTGGCTTTGAAGAAGGTTCATGGTTTCCAAACGACACTAGCATGGAACTTAAATTAATATCGAACTTAACATGCTCATATCTTTCATTGTATCGAGAGCAAACCTTTGTGCCTCATCGTACTGTATTACAAGAGTACATCACAAGAATAATAATGTACTTTCCATACTTCTAGCCAGTGGTGTTTGCAGTATTGTTTTGACTTGTTTTCTGGTTGTGTAAAGTATTTCTTTCTGTGTGTTATGAAGTACCTGCTGGATCTGGACATTATTGCCTTTCCCAAGATGGCAAAGTTTTATTTTGTCAGTTAATCAAATCCTTTCAAAAGGCGTATATTTTCTAATGATTGTGCCTTTGTTGATCAAAGCACATCTGTTATAGAATCTATCATCAAAATATGAAACTTTGTAGATAGATGTATTTTCTATATAGAACTCATATTGGATTCAGTATTTTAACTCATAATATTAAGTTGAATGGGGAAAATTTGACATACATCATCACTCACCAAATTTGAGCAACAGTACCCAGTGTTTTATTTCAGTTTTGTTTTTTTCTTTCTTAAATTTATTTGTGGTCACTTGGTCACACTGTATCATATTCTCTTTGAAAATTTTCCTTGCTTTTATTTTCTCTAAAAAATGGAAGAAAATCAGGTCTTCATCTGATTTCTGTCAATGCCTATTGAATGATCAGATTTACCCAGAAGTGTAGTGATATCTGACTCTAGAATGTCAGTTTCGAAATGTTGATTGACATATTTTTGTGCCTTTTTCTTCCTTTCGTTCTCAATTGTATAAACCATAGGCCGCAAATCCAGTTTTCTGTTATGTGTATGTTTGTATAGCTCTTCTGTGATAAGAAATGTTCGAGCATGTTATTAGCTCCTCAGAATGAATAGTACTTGGTGTCAAATTGTTAATTTTGATGTGTGCATTTTGACATTCCAATGAAACTTTGTAGTTGAAACTAATTTTTTCCAACCTATTTTTTACACTCTTATTTATTATGATGACCTGTTCAATAAAGCTGGTACTGTATCATTCCATTGTCATAATTGCCAGTGACAGTAATCTGTTATTCTCTTCTACGCCTCTTTTCCTCACATTGTGCAACTGAGCTAGAAAGATGCGTTGAAAAAAATTACTTGCCAGTTATTTTAATCTAGAGGTAGATTAAGTGATAAAAGTCTCTACAGTGTTGGAGTTGCTCAATAATTGGTGCCCAATAAAACATCATGAAAACCTGTAGAAATTTTATTCCTCTGTCCAATTTATTCCAAGCTCTGTGCTCCTTTAAAACTGCAGATGCTGTCAGAGTCAGGGCACTTACACTACATGTCTTACACACACATACACACTTAAAAAATAGCTTGTCACACAAATATGACTAGTCAAGTACAAAAAAATAAATAACTACAGGTTTCTAATTCTGTTCACAAGTATTTATAATTATCACAGAGCAACTTAATCAAAATTGCAAACAAAATTTCTGTATCAAAATTATTTTGTTTAATTTAATACGTTATAGCAAATCTACACACAGTATATCAAAGTACCTCAATGAAGGTGAAAAGCAAAATATATACGAACGACACTTTTACCCTCCTTCCTCTGAGACAGGCTGGAGAATACAAATTGAAAAAAAATGAATCGAATGGAATGTCAGAGAATTAAGCCTCTTTAAAATTAGCTTGTCAAGGTACTAAGGTACTTTGAAGCTGGAATGATAACCAATAGAAAACAGAGATTACCTTCAAATGAACAATTCTAGAAGTCAGTCTGGATTTCATCATCACGTTGTTTAATTGGATTATCTTTTAAAATGGAGATAATCATGCTGGGAAAACAAGACACAACGGTTAGAGATTTCTTGGAAGAAAGCAAAGGCAAAACAAACCCAAAATACATCAAAACCTCCGACACTTACCAGTACAAATACATGAAGAATGCTAAAAGGTTGTAACCAAGATGAATGAGGGAATCACGCATGTGTCTTTTCAATTGCCCTCTGTTATGAATTTCTGTGGGATCATATACACCTGGGTTTCCGGCAGGTACTTTAAAATATCTGAAAAAAATAAAAAAAATATTAAAACAGACTGCCTTTTAAACCATTCTTCCTTCTCGGATCACACTTACTCATACAATATCCACAGAGCTATTGGAAGAGCGGTAAGAAATAAAACCCAATGTCCGTGTAAAAGCAAAATTGCTGTCATTGACAAATGCCCAACCATTTTTGGGATAACATACTGCGAAGAGAAACATTGAAATTAGCACTAAGCAGAATTACAGATTACAGAACACAGAAACAATGCATGAAATTTAATACTTGATTAAGAGTTGAACAACACTGTTGTGCATTGAGATAGTCGCATTCAAGATCTGACAGAGTTATAATCTGAGAAGGGTTAAGGACAAATTTTCTATATGTCCTAATAGTTTAATACCTATTACATAAGACATTATCAAATCTAAGGAAGGAACAGCCGTAAAAGGATACAAAATACACCAATAGGAAAAGGGCAGCACCGGTCTCCAGCATGCATACGGCAAATAGTACTGGGTCTGAGAAAATCATGTTGAAATTTGAGCAATGGGATCCGACGAAAAAAAAAAGGTTCCACAGAACAGAAACTGAAGGCTGATTTTCAGCAAAATGACGACCGCAGAATGCAAATGAAATTAAGTGAACTTTGAAGTGTGCAAGATGTAAACAAACACTTATCACCGCAGAACTTAGGTTATCAGCCGGGCATGTATGAGAACTTTGTCACTAACTTATGAAAAATTAGTCACCAGAAAATTTAAATTCTTTTTGGCTTGCTCTTTGCCTGAAGTTGGACATGTTTCCACTAGGAAGGAGTTCAGAATAAAACAGATACCAAATAATGTTGTGGGGTCTTTATTGAATAAAACAAAATACCGGTTTATACCAAACATGATGTCTTAACTTCAAGAATATGATTTTGAGGAATGTGATGTACCCGAAGCTCCGAAGCAACTTCCAGAGAAATTACTGAATAAAGAAACCATGAAGTTGTAAGAGAGTAATGGTGTTGAAATAAAACAAAATAAAAGTTAAAGAAGTTAAAAAAGAGAATTAGTATTACAGGAGAACATCACAGTTTAAACAAAGAGTTTTTCTTCATTTTTTTAAGGACTTCAGCCTGGGCTTTAGGCTTGGTAATCCACTCAGGCATTTTTCTTTTGGGTCTAGGAAGTGATCCACTTTGTGGACTTCCACATACTTCATCTAGAGACAGGCTTCGATTCAATTCAGTCTTATCATTTACATTGGCAGAACTTGGAATGGAGGATTTGAGAGCGGAAACACTTCTCGGAATGGTGGGCGCCTGGGACTGTAATTGAGAAATGCCAGAATCCTTGGTTGCTCCAATTTGAACTTTCCCTCCCACAATAGCTATGTCACTGTTAACATCAGTCTTATCTTGAAATGTTTCAAAAGGCTCCTCGTCCCAATCCACCACCGATGCAACAAAAGACACATCATGGTTTGCCTCAGACTGTGGCTCATCATTTGCTCTGATTATGGGGTGTGGAGAGTCTTCCTTCAAATTGGCTTGTTCTTGTGGTACACCAACAGTATCCTCTGCATTTTTTGTATCATCTGAGGAAAACTGGTCACGCCAAAAGGAATGATTAACAGGTTTCTTTGAACTGCTTGCAGAAGTAGTCTGTGAATTAAATAACAAAAATGTTACAAACTGCACTTTAAAAAAAAAAAAAAAAAAAAAGACAAGGTGATTGATATTTACCTTTGACCACAATGTATCCAAACTACTCTGGGATTGTACCTCTTTAGCAGCAGATTTGAAGCTAGGAATAGAAGTTGAGGTTGTTGCTGCAAACTGTTTCAAGTTGGGCATAGTTCCACCCTACACAGAAAAGAAAAGAGTGAAGCAATGCAGCAGTGAAAATTAAAATATGATAGCTGAAATATTTATTACTTTTGAAGGAGCAACTGCACTTGTGTTCTGCCCTCCACTTGCTCTATATAGACCTGTTAAGTGTGCAACTACCAGATGAATCTGATCATATGAAATAAATTCAGGACAATTTTCTTTAATGGGCTTTAATTTGCCTATATCTGAAAAAAAATAATTACCGGGTCCCATTAAACAGTGCTTAGTATTCTAGCTGAAAAGTTTTGACTGAATGGTAGAAAGAAACTCACTAGAATTGACTGGAGGTGATCTGATAACTTCAACAATTTTTTCCCGAATCTCATCAATAACTCCAGCCCTCGGGAGGTCAAGAGGCAACCCTAATTTCAAGGCTTCGCAAAGGTGATTAATTAGAGTACTCCGGACAAGGTTCCTGAAATAAATCAAACCTCAGACAGATAAGTGAAGTCAGACAACCCACAGGGTAGGAATAAAAAGTTGGGCTAACCTCTCAGTGCTTAATTGCTCTAAAGTCATTTGCTGCTTTTGAAATTTGATGTAGGTTATTCTAGAGGATGTAGGTAAACTGCCTTCAGATGGTTGTGTATCAGAGGTTGCTTGAACTTCATCGGTGGTAAGACCATTTTCCTTGCAAAACTTCACTATTTGAGATATCCAAAAGGTACCGTCTCTTTGGATCATGAATTCAGTGAAGCCATCAACTAAATGGATAGAGGAAAGGAACAGCATATGATTTCATGTGTTGAACAAAAGATACCAAAACACTTTAAAAGTGGAACACTCACCGGAACCACTTTTTAAGAAATCAACACTAGACGGTCTCAGAAGAGATAGTTCTATTAGAGCTTGAATACTGGCCAGTTGGAAGGGCGCACAGTTTAATTCATTTGCTCGATCTTTTCTTATTCTCAGCAGATAATGGAAGAGTGAGTTCTAAAAAGCAAGTAACATGAAACAAGAGATTTAGCAGGGGAAAATTTTAAAGTAAAGCACTAATCACTACAGGATGAAGTGGCTTGTGACTGCGGAACAAAAGACCACTTTACCTGGGTTTTGTTATCCTGAGAGCTTGAAGTCAATGAGCTGGAAACAAGTCAAACCAATTTCATTTAGTAAATACAACACTAAAGTAAATACAATACTGACAAGGTCCTTGTGAATAAAACACGCACTCAGGGAGAATTAAATCACTACTGGAAGTCCCAGAAGATGCAGCATTCTTTTCCTTCGCAGCTTTGAGATTCAGATTTTTTAAGATCAACTTATGCAATTCATGTCCTGGTGGCAACATGACAGAAATTTCTCTTCTGTTCGATGCCAAGCTATAGGAAAGGAAATAAGACATTCGAATGGGTAACTGAAGTGAGCTGTCAAAATAAGGTCAAATTAATAAGTTCATTGTACCTGAGCAACAGTTTTTGCCCCTTGCTAGTGACTGCCATCACAGGAAGGGGGAAGGATTTGACTTCTTTATTAAACTGGAGGTACTTCTGTTCAAGGAAGCCTTCACGAATAAGTAAACGACCTGATAGTAGAAAATTTTTTAAAAGTAAGTACAATTTTTAGAGAGGTGCATTGCAGTGGCTGAATATTGTGTAATGTAAAATAAACTGACTTACTCAAAGCTTTCCACCATTCTTCACCCCTGTGTTTCCCTTTGCCATGCAACTCCTCATCTTTGGCTCTGTTAGGAATGTGAGATGTTTTGGAGCCCCTAAGACACTGTATTGTTCGTGTAAGGCCTTTAGTTCCGAAGGCCACAACAGTTTTAAGAATCAACTCGGCATCTTCTGTGAAATCATACAAGTCTGTGGGATTGGGCATTCCATTATTGGGACCTTTTGAATGTTTCTGTAGAATCCTAGATAGGACAATTTTTGGTTTCAATGACCGGTAAAGTGACATTAAAGCAAGAAGTAAAATAAAGCAGGTTAAGCCGAAGAAATACCCAGCAAGGCAGTTGTCACAGCAGTTTTCCTTCATTTCAACAGTATTAGGTGAAAAACTGCTTCCTTGAAAATGTAGAAGAAGAGTTTGCCTTCGACAAGCAGTTGTGTCCAAATAGCGCTCCATTAGTTTTGCCATCTCTCTACGATGCTCCAGGAAAGCCCCACTTAGATTACTGAGCAGGTGCCTGTAGAGACAAAATCGAGTTAGCAGCAATTAATACGTTCTTAATTTTTTAATATTTTTAAAAAAATTCTTTGTTTGTGTATTTGAAGAAAGTACTCACTGAGTTATTGCAAAATCTTTTGTACTGTAGAACACGTGACACTTAGAGGGCTGCCCATCACGACCTGCCCTACCTATTTCTTGATAATAAGACTCTATATCCTTTGGTGCACCATAATGAATAACATTGCGGACATCTAGGAAATTCAGAGGATTTTGATCAATGTTAGGATCAATATCAACAAATGATAAAGAAATTTTCTACTAACCAGGCTTATCAATTCCCATCCCAAATGCTACAGTAGCAACTATAGCATCCAGTTCATCTCTTATGAACTTTTCATGAACCTGAGTACGCTCTACATTCTTACGTTGTGCATGGTAGAAATCAACATTGATTTGGTTGTCTGAAAGAAAAATAAAGGGTTTTTGGTACTCCACTCAATTAATCGAATTAATTTGGAAAAGATCTTCCTCCCCCCCCTGAAAAAAACAAAACAAAAATGTTAAATATTTAGTACCTCGTAAGATGAGATATACTGCCTCAGTTGCTTTCTTTGTCTGACAATACACAATGGTGGGGCCATCAAATCTGAATATTCTACCATTTTCTGACCTCACCATAAACTTTCGAAGATCAGCAAATATGTCATGAGACTTTGAAGATACAGACAAGAAGAGATTCGGTCTGTCAAAACTTGAACAGACAATATTTGGATTTCTAAATAAACAGAAAGCGTAAACAATTAATAAAGCTCATTACAGAAGATGAAGTTGTAAAATGTGGCAACTAAGGCTTAAAAGAACTTACATTAGTTTCAAAGATTCGCAAATATCCTTTCGAACAGCAGGTGTGGCAGTTGCTGTTACAGCTAAAAATGGAATATCGGGAATTGACTGACGAATTGGGCCCAGCTTTCTGGAAGAGAGAAAGGAGAACAATAAAGGGAAGAATTTTTTAACATCTATGGTTAGGTCAGTATAAATTATCAAAGTAAAATTACCTGTAATCTCCACGGAAGTCATGACCCCATTGACTCACACAATGAGCCTCATCAACAGCCACTAGGGTAATATTTATTTTGTTTGCCATTTGACTAAAAAATTGTGATTTCACACAGAACTCTGGAGTAATGTACAACACTCGCAATTTTCCTGCGAGCAGATCTGTCATGACTCTGTCCTTTAAGACCTGAGCACTTCCCAGGAATGCAGCAGGGATTTTAGCCATCTGTAACAAATTCACAGGTTTAAATTTAGCAAAATCAGACACAAGTACATACACCAAATTGATTCAATGACGTTAATACATGGACACCTGCAAAGATAAAACTTGATCTTGCATGAGGGAAATAAGGGGAGAAATGATTATGGAAAGCCCATTGGAGAAGACAGCAGGAAACTGATATGTCAAACTTTTCCCAGAACCGGTTGCCATCACTACACAATTGTCCCTCCGGTCCTAAAAGGAGAAAGAAAGAACTGTTGAAATTTGATCAAAACTGAAACATAAGATTTTACACCCTACCACTCTACCTTGATGATAGATCGGATTATTTCCCATTGTATGGGGCGAAAATTAGAATGTCCAAAGAACTTGTGCAAAACTTCTAGATGCTCCGAGCTGGGTCGATCTGCCGAAGAAAACCTAAATGAAGCTGACAAATAAACTGAAACTCGATGATGCTTAGGAAAACTTACAACATACCATCATCTTTCTCATTCGCTGTCTTTCTTTCCTCACGATCCTGAGAAAAAAAAAAACCATTCGCAAGGGTAAATAAATGAACACAAATCAATAAAAAGGCAAACTACAAACTGTCAAAGTCCAGTGTCCAAGAAATCTGTGAATAAAATGGAATTGATAGAACCTTGCTAACCTCTTCGAAATTCTCTGTTTCTTCTAGTCCTTTCAAACATTCATCCCATTCTTCCCACAACGAACCATTATCAGTTTCAGAATCCATTTCGCAAAGGTGTTAAAAGGCAGACTTAAAGGATGATCCTGTCATTTCCAAACAGATATCGGACGGAGATAATGTCCGTTAAGTTCCTCGAGCCACCGTCAAACAAAGCACAAAGCACCGCCACAGCCAAGTATGAAAAATTTATGTCTGTAAACATATTGTGAGTATGGAAAACTTCATTACGCGGGGCAATTTGATTAGAGCCGGGCCTTTAAATTTGATATTCAACGATAATTCTACGTGAGGAAGTGATACATTTGGTGGAAGGCGGGTTAATTTTGAGAAATATTGATAATTCCCACTGCTCATATATTTTTATTAGCCAGTCTGCGGATCCCAAGGTGATGTGTGCATTTTTGATTTTTGAGTTGGGTTCCAGTTGACATTTTGTAGCATTTCAGTAAGTTTTAGAAAATAAGAATGCCTTGGTATCAAGTACATCTAGGTGTATTTCTCTGAATATCTGAGGTAGGGAAAGTGCGGTCCCACTCTCTTGAGTTACTGAGGACACCCTTTCCCAGAGCAGGTACTTTAAGAGCTAATGTGTTTTTTACAGTACAAGCAAGTGGGCAATAAAAAAAGAAAGAAAAAGAACTCTACAAAACCTTTCATTGAATAACAATTTAAAATATTCACATGTTTAAGTACAAAATATACAGACATATAGTTTCACAGTCACATCTAAATAAATGTAATAATAAGAAAAAATCGGGCATAAATATTTTATGATATACCTAGATTTTATGATACACATTTCCTATTCGATATTTTCGAATATCAAGATGAACTAGTGAGACTTGCCATTAACAACTCCATTTTGTTCAAGAAATTCTTTCCCTCCATCTTATCCCATCGAACTTCTTTGTAACTACCACCCAAGTTTTCCCATTTCCGCTCCTTCACAAGCTGACTTGGGAAAAAATCTTTCCGAGGGGAGTGAGCAATAGACACATGTACTCCAGCTTGAGGTTCGCAACGAACTGCGATTAGACGATCTCCGATTGGTGATGCAAGGATGCAGCTGCTGGCATTACCCATTTGCTGGACCTCGCCTACACCAAGATGCATGCTGTTGGACAGCAACTGCCAGCCCATGCATTTGGCAAGAGCTTGAACAGCTGTAATCTGGTGTTGGTGAATCTGTGACAAATAAATGAAAATACAGTCTACAGTCAGCCTTGAGGACATAGGAACTTGACACCAAATTTATACTTTCAAAGTTGCTAACCTGGCAGATAAGTAGATCTCTTAATTCCTGGATTTCATACGACATGTTCATGACACTGCCATCCCTGCATATACACTTCAGAGATTTCTTCCCCACGTGAATGGTCAAAAGAGTACGGCATATCTGTAATAATCATCACAATAGGACATAAAAATAACAGTTTCACAGCGCTTTAAAAGTTACTGGTTCAAATGCTTTGACATCTGTTAAAAACTTTACCGTATCATATCCATGAGTCAAGATGTTGACTTTAACGCATGCTTTTGTGGGAGAGTTGATTGAATTCCAATGGGAGACAATCAACGGATCTCTCACTTCTTTGGCAATTGTGTCTAGAACATATTCTGTACGTCTTCTCATAGTGAAGTGCTGAGTTTGCTCTATTATTTGCTCAAGTAATGTTTGACTGAAAAAAAAGCAAGGGCAGATGTTAATATACAATGATCAATGAGTTTAACAGGAAAGATCCTTATTTCTATACCTTTTTGACATTTCTGTCAACTCATGCCGGTCTACAGCAGTTGGTCCTGCTAAGCAACGCTGCTTGCTGGGACCTAGAGGACCAGATGAAGGGTGGGGGAAAGGATGATGAGTGTTTTTATGGTGCACTTCTCTTAGCAACTGATGAATGGAATGTTCAAGCACGTGATCATGATCAGACTTCTTCTGCTGAGGAGGACCAGATGACTTCTTGCTATTAGATGAGGTGCTATGCCGAAGTCCAATGATAAGTTGAATACCAGGCAATATCTTAAAAGGAAAACACCAGAACAGTCAAAAGAGAAACATAAAACAAGTCCACTTGCATTGATAGATTTCTTACCGAAGCAACAATCTGATTTCCTACAACCATGTGCGGAATAGGACCAGGAAGTTGAACAGCCTCTTTGGCAAGCTGGTTAAAAAGTTCCTTGCAAAACAAAACATTCTGTGCAGCTTCAAGCTTTTTCTGCCAATGCATATCAGGCATAGGACCAGCTGTGTTCAAGCTTGCAGATGTTACAGTGGTTGAAAAGAGGGCTTCATCATCTGAAAAGGATAATAATACTTTTAATACTGAATAGATCCAAAAACCTGGGACACTCAAACAGAAAAGGAGGAGTCAGATACCTTTGCGGCAGTGAACTTCAATGAATGCAACACCCTGAAGTTCACTGGGAAGTGTTACTCTCAGAGCAGAGGGAGTCTTAGGAGGGGCAGGGCCTGCATTGGGGGACTGTGGTGGTGGAGGACTCCAGTTGGACGGAGTATCTTCCTCTGCTTTGCTAACCTCAAACATACCACTTTGCGCAAACTTGGATCCAGCTGAAATGTTCCAGAGCCAAATTTGATAATTCTATAAAAGCAATTCGATGGATAACACCTGTTTACAAGAATCATCATCAATGCCTCACCAGTGCGATAGCTAACATCTCCTATGATGGAGTTCCCAACCTTTTTGAGCCTCCAATTCTTACGTAGCTGTAACAGTTCTAAATGAAAATCAGGAACACTTCGATTCCTAACGAGCTCACTCTGACTTGTACGAAGTCTTTCGGCTCCTGTAAGAAGGACTGCTGCTGCACCACCAAGAGCCTGGCACAAAAATTGAGAGTAAGTTAACGAAATTAACTACAGGGAAAATAGAAGATAAACACAAGGGGTACCCACCTTTTTCCTCGCATATACTGTTACCATGGCCTTGATTTCTGGAGGGTCCTGCGGGACAGGATCCAAGACAAGGTATCGCTTTTCTTTCGCAATTGCCAGGACATCCGACAGTACACATACTTCTGTCAGTGCATTTCTACAATAAGACATTCATGAACACATTTAATCAAAGAATTTGTAATTCAATACTATTAACCACATTTGAATACTTACTTGAGTTTGTTTCTGACCGAGTCCCAAGGCCACAAGGATGACTGATATGCAGCAGGGTCTTTGGCAGCAGCCTCATCTTCCTGCTTTTCATTGGGCTTTTCTTCTTTCTCCTCTTGCCCTTTGCCAAAATCAATTTTCGCTGCAAGCTTGGAGAGACTCTCTGACATAGAGAGCGGTCTGAACAAAAATTGACAACAAAAACACAAATTAGCACTTTGAAAATTTAAAAAGGAAAATCCACAGAAGGGCCGAAACTCAAGAGAAACTCGAGAGAAACCCCAGAGAGCAAGCTCTAGCAGAAGCCGCTAGTCGAGTATTTTAACTAAGTTCGAAACATGGCCGTTTGCAGAGGAACTTAGTTGAAGCAGAACTATTAGTTTACAAACAATTGGTTTCAATGCAGTGATATAAACAATGAAAAAGGATTGAAAATACAAAACTGAGAGGCAAGTTTCGAAGACCCTTAGCCTCACTCTTCATACAGACAATCAAGTACATGACTTGAGGATCTTCGGAACTCAATTCTAACATTGCCAAATGAAAAATGATATCTTACTGCTGATAAACTTCCGTTCCATCGTACGAAATTTCCTGTATTTGATTTTCAATGGGCGCTTCAATTGCGACATTTACGGAGTACGCCATGTTTGTTGACGTTTTTGTGTTGTGCTGTTGAGCTCGCATTTACAGAAGGCGCTGAGCTTGTGCCTCACAAACACGTCAAAACGAGAAGGCGCCGAAGCAGAACGGCGGGAAGTTTTAACCGTGGACTTCCCCTTTGCTTACGTTTCATCGCCAGTGGGTGGCTAGGTCAAATCATTTCAAGGCATAACCATCTCGACCCTCAGAGAAAGAAAATAATCTGCTAAGGTTGTTGGGGTTCAGTTGGGGTTATTATGGGGCACGGGGTAAAAATGGGACAGCGTAGTCAAGATTTGACATTTTTGGGCCAAACGAATCAGCTGAATAGAAACAGCTGTCCCATTTTTATCTGTATCCCATAATTGTCCAAACTGACCCTTCCTTGCAGTGGCTGCTGCGCTCGTGACGCGGTGTCCAGGGTTGTGAGGGTAGTTGACGGTACTGGTAGTTGATGGTACGCTAACTGCATCCAATATTTTGACACAACCACCCGTTTAAACTTTGAAATTCAAAAGGCCTTCTAAAAAAAACAATATTTCTTGCAAAATGTCACCATAAAAATAGGTTTTTAATGCCTCATTGTAAAATTACAAAACATAGCAATAAAATTTGCATCGCAAAATAATAGACGGGGGCTATTTGCAACTGAAATGACGGCCTTAAGAGTCCGGGCCTTCTCGCCATCTCGGTCTCATTGCTAGCTTGCTGGCGCCTCGAGTCTTCCGTCTTCGTCCCACCCGCGGCGCGGCCCGCACCGCCCGCACGGCCCGCGCGCGCACTGCAGTCGTCTCTCTCTCGTCTTGGTATCGATCCCTCGCCAGTGGCCCTCCGCATACGCAGGTCGGCCCGCGCCTCTCTCTACAAGTGAGGATCCAGAGGGGGGCACATTGCACCCTTCCCCCTGGACCCCTAGATAGCCGCCTGAAATGCAGGCAAAAAGCAACACTTACGAAGACAAAAAGTGTTACTCTGCACCCCTCAGGCCGCTTCTGGATCCACCAGTGTCTGTCTCGCACGACGTGCCTCCGAACAGCACTGTTTCTCTCTCAGACTCTAGCAACAGGCCTTCACGGCCGGACTGGCCTCTCCCGCCTCGCGAGGCTCGCGAGGCGGGCCTGCCCTGCAGGGGGACAGTGACGGTTCAGAAATTAATTATTTGGACCTTTGGCATTCTCGGGCATTCCGCCTGCCGCCTCGGACAGCCATCCCGAAGTCCGAAACACAGGGGGTTACGGAATTGTTCGAAGATCGGAAGCATTTCTTTTTCGAACAAGTTCCCCGGGAACTCCCAAGATTTTTTTCTTTTGCAATGGAACTTTCCGCAGAGTCGCTCACTTAAGAAGAGCGCAAGAAGGTAAAACCGAAAAATAAAATTAATTTAATTGGGTGAGACAGAAGAGAAACGCCGTTAAAGATATCAAGATGAGAGAAGATGAAATTTAGTTGATTTTCGTAGAAACGTCAATCCAATCAATTTACAGTAATTTTTTCTGTGTGATTGCTTGGTTACTTAGTTTGAAAATAGTAAGAAGGTAAGTCCATCAAATTCATTTTTATTTTTTTACAGTGAGACGATCGGTGCGAACTATCAGTGGAGTGCGTGCTTCTTTTCGAGGTCCTCACACAAATCATTCCGCATTTCATATTCATGTCCGGATGATAACAGTGACCCGCAGAAGTCGAGTCATTCGGCCATTCGTGGTGCAGCCTGCGCCGTCTCTCTCGCACCGGGGCGCGCCCCATGAGTGCGAGAGAGACAGAGCGGCAGCGGCCTGCTGGCCCTCATGAATCATGCATGGCGGGGCCATGGCGGGGCCATCCCTGGAGTCATGATGATGCTCGCTGCCAACGGTTATGAATCAAAACCGAGACGTCATTCTCGACTTCCCTCGCAGGTGAGACTTCCGCCAAAGGCGCGGTGCACTGCAAATTAATCGGAAAGACTCGGTGCCAAAATGAGGCGCACTGGCGGATCCAGGGTCGGCCTTCGGCGGGCAAAGTGTTGGTCTACCTTTCAAGCGACTTTCTAGGTGCAATTTTGTGTGTGTGTGTCTGTCAAGGTGTGTGTGTGTGTGGGGGGGGGGGGGGGTCTTGTCAAGTATGGGGGAACTTGTTTTTTTTTTTGCCTGACCACAGTACAGGCCACACGAACCGTATTGATTAGGTTAGGTTCAAACTTCTGACCAAATTTTGACGAGACTTTCAGGTCTGGCCGAAACTTGGCATGACTTTTTGTCTCGCCTCTGGAGTGGCGGCAAGTCTGACCTTCGGATTTGTAGAGTGGTAGAGTGAGATGAGTGAGAGCACACTTAAAACCTTACGAAGTATTTGGACCACACATAGTACAAACTAATTTAGTTTGTTGTACGAATAGTTTGCAAATCTCGAAGCATTATCTTCATAGGCTTATGTGTGCTCAAAATAATTTGTTATGGCGAGGTACTTTTCTTTGCAAGGTCGAAAATAGTTTGCAAGGTTTTTAGAGTGAGAGCAGGGAAACTCTCTGCACGGGAAATTTCCCTGCCGTGAAAAGGGGTGCCTGAGCCTCGCTTAATGAATGGCGTCTCGACACGTGTGCACACGTGCGCGGCCTAATGAGTAAATGTTTATTTTTTGAATAGCGGCAGGCCCTCGTGCTACACGCTGCTTTCATGTCCATGCGCCTTGCCGGCCTTTGGAGTCTCTCTCTCTCTCTCGCACCCTTACTGGATGCCCCATGAGTGCGAGAGAGATGGAGCGACGAAAGCGCCACCGCCCACAGTGGGCCAGAAGACCGGTGGAGGCGGCTAAAACTCGAGACGCGTTTTGGAGCTCCAAAGTCGCTAAACAGGACCCCAACCGAACGTGTGGCCCCACCAATGGATTGCACTCCAAACGAGGAATCCATTAGTGGGGTCACACGGTAGGTTCGAGTCCTGTTCAGCGACTCTGGAGCTTCAAACGCGTCTAGAATTTTGGCCGCCTCCACCGGTTCTGGCCCACTGCGCGGCCCTCTGTCCACGCATTACGAGGTATCGCCGCCGTAATCTCGAAGGGCGGCCTTTCACGGCCGCGGTGAGGACGCACGCACGCCCGGGCCGCCCAGCGAGTGCGAGAGAGACAGCGAACGAGTGCGAGCGAGGCAGAGAGCGGCGAGGACGCACGCTCGCGGCGCGGTGCGCGCGGTGTCACGGACGCAAAGCCGCGCAGAGCACAGCGATGCCGAGAGTCGGTTCCGTCAGACTGTCTCTCTCGCACTCATGGGGCGTCACGTATAGGTGCGAGAGAGACAGAGCGACGAAAGTGACTCTCAGTCTGCAGCCTCGCCCCCTCCCTATTGAGTTGCTCGTATTTATGCATATCCGTTCTCCTATGAAGCCATGCCCCACGGCCCATCAGCCAGTATTTGCACTCTGATCGCTTTTCATCATTGGCCCGCCCCCTCCCCTGACCATGCCCCTGCCCTTGGGCCCTGGCGGGGGGTGGGGTGTGTTGCTGCGCCCCGCCCCGCCCATCCCGCCCCACCCCACCCCGCCCCACCCCGCCCCACCCCGCCCCGCCCCGCCCTGCCGCCACGCTGCTCGGCTGGGCTCGGCTCAGTCGTTGGTGAATCGCGCTAGGTGTAGCACGTGTTGCCTACCCGCCGTAGTCGCGCTCTCTCTCTCGCCTCTCCCGCCAGGACCCGCCAGGACCCGCCGCAGGTGAGTCGCTCTCCGTCGCACCAAGGGCGAGGATGCCAACCGCAGCAACTGACCTGCCAATTCATTTCAAACTTTGAGTCGACATTTAAAAAAGAAAATCCCCCATCAGAGTCTGTTCAAAAATGTGGCTCTGTGAGAGAGTAGTCCTGCGCAATGGAGAGGTGGCAAGCGCGTGCTACCCAAGTCAGAGTGATGTGCTTCAAAGTTGCAACTAACATTTCCACCGTTTTTTTTTTTTTCACAATAACTTTACGACTTTAGCGGCTTAGTGGGGCCCGTGTTAGTCTGAGAGAGAGAGAGAGAGAGAGAGAGAGAGAGAGAGAGAGAGAGAGAGAGAGAGAGAGAGAGAGAGAGAGAGAGAGAGAGAGAGAGAGAGAGCAACGCCATCACCATTATCAATTCGCAGCACTTCCTTCCCTGATTAATAATTGCAGCCGCCAGAAATGGAACCGCGACAAAGCCTCACTGATGGGGCGGCCCGTCTGGGTGCGAGAGAGAAGGAGCGACGACAGCGACGCGCGGAGTCATTCGGCTGCTGTGCACTGCGGTGCGGGTGAGGGCGAAGGCGGACAGCGCGGCAGCGAGGCGGCAGCGAGGCTGCAAACAGAGCGCCTGCGGAGACGGGGGTAGGCAACACGCGGGCACCACTGGGTCCCGGTTGCCTACCCCGGACTCCGCAGGCGGCTGCGGGCGCGAAGGGAGGCCCAGGGTCCAGGGCACAGTGGGCCAGGCGACCGCTGTGGACGGCCGAAATTCTAGACGCGTTTTGAGCTCCAGAGTCGCTAGACAGGGCTCGAACCAAACGTCAGACCACACCAATGGATTCCTCGTTCGGAGAGCAATCCATTGGTGGGGTCACACGTTCGCTTCGTCGCCAAGACTGTGGACTGTTGGTCTTGTCGAGACGAATCCATTTCCGTAAAAAGATCTTGATTTGGCGCACTCAAAGCCAAAATCCAGACATTCCCTTAGATTTCAAGGTAGCACTTTTACCGTGCGGTGGTATGAACACCGACACATCCACGGACCTGCTGGCTGCGGGCGGAGCGGTTCCGAGGAGTCTCTCTCGTCGCTCTGTCTCTCTGACAACCCCGACGGGACCTCCCGCGAGTGCGAAAGAGAACGACTGCTTGGCACCTGGCTGCCCTGGCTGCAGCGGGCTTGCAGTGGTGGCAGGCAGGCGGGGTAACAAGGTCCTTGAGGACAATCCCTCCGAATCTGCAAAGCGGGTCGGCTTGCTCAGACTGGAACTTCCAGGCCAGCGGGTTGAGCAGGGATTAAGCCGTGCGATAATGGGGAAAGGGGGGGGGGAGGGGGGCACTTGCACCGCGTCTTCGAACGGCGCGCGCGACGCGCAGAGAAAGGATACTGGGTGAAGTGGCGGCGGGCGGAGGGCGAGACCGGCAGCACACAGTGGGCCAGAAGACCGCTGGGGGCGGCCAAAATTCGAAACGCGTTTTGAGCTCCACAGTCTTGTCGACAAAGCGAACCTGTGACCCCACCAATGGACTGCTCTCCGAACGAGGAATCCATTGATGGGGTCACACGTTCGGTTTGAGTCCACCTGAGTGACTCTGGAGCTCAAAACGCGTCAAGAGTTTTCTCCTACCTCCATCGGTTCTCTGGCCCACTGTGCAACACCTAGACAGCCTCGTCGGCGGAGAGGCGACAGGGCTGTGACGTCAGCGCACTCTCATTGGTTGGCGCGGCCCAGCAAGCGCTGTGATTGGTTGGTGCAGCCCGAAGCGTTCCGAGTTGTCGTCTCTCTCCCTGCGAGGCTCTCAGGCCGTCCATAGCAAGACCAGCCTTCGGCCAGCCTTTGGACGGTCTGAGACCTTTCGCCCCGCCTCGGCCCGCCTCGGCCTGTATCGACCGTGCTGGACGTGAGTCAGCCCGCCACTGGAATGATTTCGGAAAAGACGGAGAGAGAGGGAGAGAGAGAGAGAGAGAGAGAGAGAGAGAGAGAGAGAGAGAGAGAGAGAGAGAGAGAGAGAGAGAGAGAGAGAGAGAGAGAGAGAGAGATCCCCCTCTGACAAAGAATAAAGCAAGACCAGCCTCGACTACGCTTCATCAAGCGCCGAGGGATCGGATTTGCATAGGGCAGCCTGAGGACGAACGAATGGCCCCGAAATCAGCGAGCGCCGAGCGAGCGCGCATGCACTGTATACGGAGAGAGAGAATAAATGTCATCGGGCTTATTAGTTTCAGTTCTTTCCTCTAAATATCATTGACAGAGAAATCAAGCGGTTTATAGTGGATTTGGCCCAACTTTTCCCCAACAGCGCAGCGACGGCCAGTTTGAGGCAGTTAGCGGTTCTTTATCTGGCCGCGTTTGCCTTTCGTGCGCCTTGCGCGTGGTTGGTCGGTCTAGACTGAGTCGGGTCGTGGCCGAGGTGGGCGAGGTGGGCGGGGCACGGCGGGGCGCGGCGGGCCGCAGAGGAAAAGTTTTACCCTGACCTCAAAAACGGGCTCTAAAATCCGTCACGTAGTTCGGACGCGTGAGAACCGCGCGTGGTCGTTTTGCGAAAAACCGGAGGAGGAGGAGGGGGAGGGAGGGGGTGGGGGGAGATAGCGAGGAGATGGCCCGCAAGTTTGGCTGCGGGTTGTACGGTGGTGTCCCCCCCCCCCCTCTCTCCCTTGGGGCTACCGGTGGGGGTCACTTAGTGCTGGTATCAAGGGGTTAATTGCCCTCCGCCCAAGGGGCCTCAGGGAGGGGGAGGAGAGGGGGAGAACTTGTCGGGAAACTTGACCCTTTGGCCGATTTCAATAGTAGACGACAAACGGCTCTTCCCATCCCACTGCCAAGGCCAGCGGCCACGCCCAGCCACTCCGCGATACCGACACAACGCACACACACGCACACACACGCACACACACAAACACACAACGCCAAAACAAACAAACACACAAACGCACTCTTTCAAACAGACACTTACGTACTCCCACCCACACAAACTCACGCACACACACAGACACTTACGCTGGCACACACACACACACACACACACACACACACACACACACACAAACACAAACACGCACTCACGCACACACACAAATACACACACACGCGCACACACAAACAGACACTCACGTACACACCAGTGAGTACGAGTTGAAAAATACATAGTGCGGTTTACCGATGGAGCCGGACCGGTGGCGTGGCGCTTGTAACTGCTACACTGCGTGGCGCGGTGGGGCTTGGACATTAATCTTTGATTGGCACCACCGGCCGGGGTCGATGCGGCGACATTGACACAGATCACGTTCCACCAACGGACGGCCGCGACGGCCCGCCACGGCCTGCTACATACACACAGGGTGGTGCGGGACTCAGAGTGGTGCGGCACACAGGGTGGTGCGGCACACAGTGTGGTGCGGCACACAGAGTGGTGCGGCACACAGGGTGGTGCGGCGCACAGTGTGGTGCGGCACACACAGAGTGGTGCGGCACACAGAGTGGTGCGGCACACAGAGTGGTGCGGCACACACAGAGTGGTGCGGCACACACAGAGTGGTGCGGCACACAGAGGTGCGAGAGAGACAGAGCGACGAAAACATACTCTCGGAATCAGTCTGCTGAGCCGTCGCCGCCACTGCTAGTCCTGCCACCCTGCGGCCTGTGGGCCCTGCGGCTTGCTTTCAAGCACGAAGGGCGCCGCCGCCTCGTCGGAGTGGCGACCACTTGCCGCCCCGAGCCGAGGCTGCTCGCCCCACCTCTTTATTCGTCAACACCGTGGGCCAGAGACCGGTGGAGGCGGCCAACTCTAGACGCGTTTTGAGCTCCAGAGTCGCTAAATGGGACTCGAACCGAACGTGTGACCCCACCAATTGATTCCCTGTACGGAGAGCAATCCAACGTTGTGGTCACACACGTTCGATTCAAGCCCTGTTTAGCGACTCTGGAACTCAAAACGCGTCTAGAGTTGGCCGCCTCAACCGGTCTTCTGGCTAGCTCACTGTAGCCAACGCCCATAAACAATAACAGCAAGAACAACAAACTCCGATAAAAAAAAATTGGTGCGGCGGCGGGGTTTTGAACCCGCGCTGCTCGTAACTCGCCGGCACCGTGGGGTATTATTTCCTTTCTGTGGCGGTCTGGCGGGGAGCTGAGGAGGCGGGGTGGCTTGGTGTACTGGGAACGTATTATATCGTCAATCAGATTACCTCCCGGCCGGCGATGCCGATGGCGATGCACTGGCCGAGCCGCCGCCGCGCCGTGGCCTAGTCTGTGCCAGCACAGCCGTTTTCGCCGCTCTGTCTCTCTCGCACCCACACGGGACGGCCCATGAGTGCGAGAGAGACAGAGCAACGAAAACGACTCTCGGAATCGTCCTGCAGTCTCGGTCGGCAGCCACACGGAGAGGGACAGGGTGGAACAGGCAGCTGCAGGCCGGCCCATTCTCTCGCCCCCCCCCCCCACCCCCTGCCCCGCCCCGCCCCGGGTCGGTAGCCAGCGCGCTCTAGCGTGACTGAAGGCAATCAGCTCTGTTTGAACTGACGGCGCTTCGCAATTTCATTCGGAAACGCGCCAAATTTATGTTGTATTTCACCGAGAGAGATAGAGATGAGGGGGGAAGGAGAGAGAGAGAGGCGAGTGAGGGATAGCCAGGATAGCGAGCAGACTGTGCGCGTGGTGCGACTTTGTGGCCAGCGGACGGCCGGAGCACCCAATCCAGACCCACCCCGCCCAGAGCGCCCCAGAGGCTCGCAGATAGTTTCCCAAGCAAGGGTCCGGGTGGCCCGGCAGCCGGGCAGGGCGCAAATGGGATGATGTGGGCGTTCTCAGTGACCGCAGACAAGCAGGCACGAGCAGAGGGAGACGTACTGCCCGGGCAGGGCAGGCGCACAGAGGGCCAGAAGACCGGTGGAGGGGAGGCGGCCAAGATTTCAGACGCGTTTTGAGCTCCAGAGTCGCTAAAAAGTACTCCAACCGATCGTGTGGCCACACCAATGGATTCCTCGTTCGGAGAGCAATCCATTAGTGGGATCACACGTTC